CTTCCTTGTGTATTTCCCTCCATTATCAAGACCTTTAGAAAGGAGGGCAATGTGGACAATTTCCCAGTTTCCTAGCTGGGCAGCTCACCAAAAACAAACCCAGACATCAAGGCCAGAGCGAAAAAAAAAAACTTCATGTTTTAGACAGAAGACTCCTACATCTGGGGGATTTAATGCACCCACTGTCCATGCAGTACATTTCCTGTGTCCGGAGCTTCTCTGCCTGCCGGCTCTGGTCTCGTAAGTTTCCATGCCCTGCTGCCAACTCACAATAACAGAGGCAGCAGGCAGCAGGGTAGGAACGTCAGAGCCCGCTCCGCTCCGTATGTGGCAGCATGCTTTGCCGACTGAAACAAAGCCTGGAAGGTGTCATCACAGGCCTTTCAGCCTTGACAGTGCTTGTGCCCAGACCACCAGGAGCCTGGAATTAAATACCCTCAGATCCAGTTCTCTACCATTAATGTTATCAACTTCATCAAGTACTTCCTCTTTGAATGGTGTCTGCAGAGAAATAAATAAATCAAGCTCCTCCAAGTCCTGTTCCTGCCCGGATCCTGAGTCAGAAGTAAAGTCTGAGTTGAATTATCTAGAGCACTGTCTCACTCCTTCATTGTTCCCAAGGATCTGGGCAGGAACAGAGAGTGAAATCTCTCCAGGACATTACATCAGTTCCTATTCTACCCTTGGCATGAAAGTTCTTCCTCTCATAGTCCTTCCAGACTTCCTAAGGCTTGCCCTGAGTGCACACCCACACGCTGTGCCTTGAAGCCTGGACTTCAAAGAAAGACTGCAGGTAACCAGATTACTGACCAACGCCCGCGTCCCTTGTGAAATTTATAAGGCGGGAAATGGATTCAGGAAATGGGATTTTTTTTTTTCAATACATGGTCTCCATCATCCTTAAGTATTTTTAAACCTTAATAAGCTTTTAAGTAAAGAGAGACATTCCGAAAATGGCATTTAGAAGAAAATATACGAAAGTTCAAAATGAAACTGTCTTGAGTAGTTACTTCCAATGGTCATATTCTGTGAAAAATGAAAAGTGAAACATGGACAAAAGATAAATTCATTTTTATGGGCAGCAAAATTGAGATCCATATTAGCTATAAAAAAAAGAACTTGCCTTGTCCCCAGAAGACTGCAGATCATTTCCATCATAAGATTATTAAATCTTAGCCATTATAGTTAACTCCCTAACTCCACTAGCCCAGTCAGTACCCTGAATGCATTTATATGCATTTGGGTCAAAATGAGAATGCTGGTGCTTGTCATTCCAACCTGTACCTTTGCAAGGTTCATTAAGTACTCAAAAAAGAAACTATCAAACCTATACTAAAGCAGAGAGTACTGTATAACAAAACACCGTGTACCCTCACCCCCAGTTTTGGTAATTAGCCCATGGCTGCTCTTGTTTCCTCTGTACTTCACCTACTCTCTCCCTCACTGTCCCATGTTATTTTAAAGCAAATCCAAGATATATCATTTTATCTGTAAATATATTAGTACAGGTCTAAAAAAGTGAAGTCTCATAAAATAATACAGTACCAGCACATCACCTGAAAACCAGTAGTGCACATTTTTCCATTTATCTTAGGTTTTCTACAGTTTGAATCAGACTCAGACAGCACTCTAACCAAACACTGCAGAGGTTGATGTCTCTTAAATCTTTTGACCTGTCATTTCCCATCCATACCCTTCTTGTGCATGCTTAAACACTGTCTGTTTCTCTCTTCCGGTTTTTTAAAAAGAATTTTCCCCCTGTACATCGGATGGGTTGAACATCTCTTATCCAATGTGCTTGGGTCCACAAGTGCTTTGGAATTTGGATTCTTTTCAGATTTTGGAATACTTACTATACATGGGGAGATATTTTGGTTGATGGGGCCCAAGTCTAATCATGAAACTCATTTATGTTTCATATAGTGTATACCTTATATACATAGCACAAAGGTAATTTTATAAAATGTGGTGTTGATGAAATTTCATGGTGTAGAATTTTCTGTGTAAGATTATATAAACATTCAAAAGGTTTCATGTTTTGGATTAAGGATGTTCAGCCTGCTCCTCCTTCTCCCACCACCACCTCCAGCTGCTTTCAAGGTTTTAACTTTGGGTTTCAGCAGTTTGACTGTAATGGGCCTGAGTGTGGTTTTCACTGTTATATTCATTCTGCTTAGGGTTCACTAAGCTTCTTGAATCTTTAAGGTTTGTTGTTGTTGTTGATGATGATAATGATGTTATTGTTACTGTATTTGGGTACAGTTTGGCCACTGGCACCCCCAACTTTTTCTGTACTGTCCTTCTTGGACTCCATTTACGTGTGTGTTAGACCACTTGATGCTGTAATTTGCTTAATTTTTATTGGTTTCAAATTTACTAACCCTTTCTTCTCTCGTCTCCACTATGCCATTAAGTTCATCTAATCTAGTGCTCACTTTGGCAGCACATATGCTAAAAAAAGTTCATCTGATTTCCCATTTCTGAGTTGTAGAGTCTTCATTTTGTTTAACAGTTTCCATTTTGATAGTTTCTGACATCACTCATTGTGACCATCATTTCCTTCAAGTGCATGAATTTACTTAGAAAAAGCTATATTAATGTCCTTCTCTGCTAATTCTAACATCTAAATGATCTCAAGATCTTTTTCTCAGATGCATTGGTCTTGGTTATAAGTTACATTTTCTGTTTCTTCTCATGTCTAGAAAGTTTTTGTGAAATTCTTAACATACAAATAACACATTGTAGAGACTTTGAACTGTTAGAGTCCTCTAAAGAGTGCCGAGTTTTGTAACACCAGGCAGTTAATTTATTAGCAGTCACTTTGAATTTGTGTCATCTTGGTCTTATATTTCATTAGGACAAATCTGTTTCAGTTTAGCCATGACGGGCTAGTGAACACCCAGCGGGGTTTGCAGACCCTTCTAACGCGAGGACTTGGATCATGAACTTTTTGTCTCCACTGCAGTAGTCAGGACCTGAGACTTCAGCTCAGGTCTTTTAGCCACACAACTATTGCTAAGTGAATTCCTTGTTTCCTCTTCTGTTATTCAAGAGGCAGACAACAATTTGAGAGAATGTTTACACAGCGTTCTTGTAGCTGTCCCTCTGGGGGCTCCCTCTTGTATGAGATTTGCTCCCACAATTTTCTGCCATTCTGTCATCTGTATATCTTCTCCTGTGACAGCTCAAGCACTGCTCGGTTCATCAGGTAAGTGCCCTCTGCCATGTAGACCGGAGGATACTCGCTGGAAATCCATGTAAATATGAATCTCTGTATAGTTCCCTCCTTTCAAGGATAAAATCTTCAGTTTTTGTCTGCTTTTCGTCATACCCCAGTATCTTCAGATAGTTTTTGAAATATATATTGTGTCCAGATTCTGTAATTTCTAGCAGTTTGAAAGTCTGGTACATGCCACTCAGCCATGATTAAAACTTGAATCTACCTCCTCCTTTAATAGGTGAGGGATGGCAGACCATAAATCTAATCATCGAGCCTGGATGCTGGTTGCTGGCAGAATATTAAGATATTCCTCCTTCTTTTATGTACTTGCACAGTATGCTATTTCTTAGAGACACTGGGCCGGCCTGGGATTTAGGTCAGTGGTGCTGCCACCTGCCTCGCAACCGCAAGGTCCCCAAGTTCAATTCCCAGTACCAAAAAAACAAAAACAAAAACATTCTTTTAAAAAGTTTCCTGTTCATAGCTATTCCAGTGATTGAGCACTTTTGAATTTATGGCAGCAGGTTATACATTAGTCACAAAATAAGATCATCTTTACCTTTACGATGAGCTTTTAATATCAGGAACAATATTTCCTTTGTTCACTGTCATTATGTGCTAGGTGAGATCTAATGGAACTTAGAAAAAAAGTCCTGATTTTCCTATTAACCCAGTGTAAAATTTGAAGAAACCTCCACCTTAGTTTACTGACCTTATCTGATTCCCTGTCTCCTCTATGAGTTCTTTGCATGGTCAGAGGTGACACCTTTGACTTGTTTTACTTAGAACCTTGGGCAACTTTTGACTAGAATGGGGGTCAGCAAGCATGCACATCCTCCTGGTGAGACAGCTGGGAGAACGTGTGATGAGATCTCAGTGAAATGGATGTGACACCCTCTGGAAGGTACCATTTCACGAGCAGGCCCCATCCTTTCCCGCCTTAGCAGGGGTCCCGGAGCCTGCCTGGGTGCTGGTCCATCCCTGAGCCAACATCCAAGGCTGTGCACACTTCTGACTTTGTCCTCAGGAGCTTGTAACTTCAAGTGGGGTGGGGTATCCAACCATCCCTCCTCCTCACTTACCTCTACCTATCTCTGACGTTTGTAGGGTGCTCCTAAAATTCTCTCAAAGACAAGATTGTCATTCTGTAAGAGGGTTCCACTGCTTATGCTGAAAGCAAGTTTTGATAGGACTTTGTGCCCTCGTTTCTGTGTGACAAAGCGACTGATACCGCAATGAGTACTCTGGAGTCTGTCTGGAGTCTGGTTCCAGTCTCTCCATTGGGTGTGTGACCGAGAGAAAGTTGGCTCAGTCTTATCCCTAAAACAGGGGCGATAGTGGTCTGCTCTACTTACGATTAAGTTTTAAACAATAACGTCTAGTACCTGAATAGCACTGTTAGTCATTGTCATTATTAGCAATAAGGACTGCCGGGCATAGAGAATATGAAAATTTGGTTGGGTTGTAAGACTCTTAAGTTAGTAAGAGGCCCCAGAGAAAACTCCTTAAGGCCCTTCCCCTGGCGAAAGCCCCCACAGAAGAGCGAGGTGAGAAGGTAAAGGGTGGAGGTGAGGTTCGTGTCTATCAGCCACTCCCAGGTGGTGGATCCGATTCCGGGCTGGTGGAGCAATACAAAAACGACTTCAAGTATGTGTACTTGAATTTTATAAGACACCGCGTGTTGAGGCTTTGTGAACACAGACAGTGGCCTTCAGAACACCCTTGGGGCCCCTCGCTGCCAGTTCCTCGGACCTGTGATTGTCTCTCCTCTGCCCCACAGATAACTGTGTCCAGAGGACGCCCCGGCCCGCCGTGGAGACGGTGCACCACAACCCTCCCACCATTGAACTCTTGCACCGCCCCAGGTCGCCCATCACGACCAATCACCGGCCTTCTCCCGACCCCGAGCAGCGGCCCCTCCGGTCCCCCCTGGACAATATGATCCGACGCCTCTCCCCGGCTGAGAGGGCCCAGGGACCGCGGCTCCACCAGGAGAACAACCACCAGGAGCCCTACCCTCTGTCCGTGTCTCCCATGGAGAATAATCACTGCCCGCCGTCCTCCGAGCCTCACCCGAAGGCCTCCAGCCCGCGGCAGGAGAGCACCCGCGTGATCCAGCTGATGCCCAGCCCCATCATGCACCCTCTGATCCTGAACCCCCGGCACTCCGTGGATTTCAAGCAGTCCAGGCTCTCCGAGGACGGCCTGCACCGGGAAGGGAAGCCCATCAACCTCTCCCATCGGGAGGACCTGGCCTACATGAACCATATCATGGTCTCTGTGTCGCCGCCTGAAGAACACGCCATGCCGATCGGGAGAATAGCGGGTGAGTGAGCTCGGCCTGGGCCCCCGGGTCAGACCCAGCCCCGTTCCTTCCTCGGCCCTTGCCAGCTGAGTGCCCACCGCAGCTCTGGGAGGGGAGTGGAGGTTTCAGCCTGTATGAGGCAGAATCCCTAAGGTCCTGGTTAATGAGCCTCCGAAATGTTAAGAAACAAATGTCCTAGGTCTAGCTTACAAGGAGAGTCGCTTCAGAATCGTGGCTAAGTGAATACATTTAAAATCAAAGGTTTATGAGCATGCTAATAGCCCTGTCCTGAAGTTTCCAGCAGCTAATTAATGACCAGACACAGCGTGAAGAATCTGTGTCTCACATTCATGCCTGTAATTCCATCCTGTGGGCAGCTTCACCTTGAGACAGGGCAGGAAAGGAAAACAGGATTATGGGGTTGGAGGCAGGTGTTACCCTGTGTTTTGGACAGAAGAAACCACTCCCAAATTCTTTTTATTTTATGATCACAAGTTCAAATCTTACATAGGACAAGAAACCAGTGAAGAAAATCTCCTCATTCCCTTCTGGCTATTCTGCCCAAAACTTACATGAAATCATTCTCCAAAGCCTCATGCCCTGTCTGGCAAGGTGAACGCTTCCGCTTGAGTCTCGCTGCACTCATGGGGTATTTGTCGAGCACCACTGTGTGCAGAGGAGTGTGTAAGGAACACGGCGTGCAGAGTTGACCCGACACACAGTACCTTTGTCAGTCCGGTGGGAGACAAGTGTGGCAAACACCGAGACACAGGGCGGAAAGAAATAAGCCCTGTGCGGCATTCCTGTCGCGTGTAAGTTCAGCACCCGTTTGATGCCGTGATGATAAAGCAAAGCAGAGGAAGCTGTATTCTGAGTGGAGAAACTGAGGTTTCCCGGGGGAGGGAGTTTGATAGGGAAGTGATTGTGCGCTCGGCAGTGGGAAGGAGGCCCGCAGGTAGAGCTGTGCAGGTACAGGAGAGAAGGTCCCCTTCCTGCAGACGCCCGCCAGGGCACAGCAGCGCCCGTAACAGCAGGTGCTTCTGCAGGCCGCCTCCACCTGCGCCTCACCTGTGCCTTTGCCTCTCTGGCCTCGAGCTCACCTGTAATGTCACGTCCGTTTTATGATTGTAAGTAATTCACGTCAGGCGTGTTGGCTCCCAGCACGTGTGAAGCCCTAAATTTAATCCATGGAACCATGAAAGGGAAAGAAGAGGAAGAAGGAAAGGACAAAAGAAAGGGGAAAGAAATGTAAGTTTAAACTCAGATGTTTCAGAAGCCTATGAAGATGGAATGGATATTTTTGGACTCCCGTTTAGGGGGCAAGACTAGAGTGGAGTTTCACTAACGGTGACTAAGGAGGCTGAGCGGAGGGGTTTCCCATTGCTGTTCTTTCCTCTGACTACATATACATTAGGGTTTTCTGGTTTTGTTTTAGTTTTCAGGCACTGGACTTCACCAACAGGGCCAAACTCCACTTGGGTTGGGCTGTCACTAAATTGCCCAGTCTGGCCTTGAACTTGGGATCTTCCTGCCTCAGCCTCCCCTTAGGTCATATTATAGGTGTGTGCCACCATATATTGGGATTTCTTAACTAAAAACTGCAGGTGTGGGGGATAGGGGACAAAGAGTTTAGGCAAAAATGTCCATTTCCTCTGATAAATGGAGGGAGAGAATAGGGCTGAGTATTGCTGTGAATGATATAAATGGTCTTATGCTTTCCATGCAAGACACTTATCTGCATTGTCTGCTCAACAGGACTCGGCATTTTGCACATCTACAGTTGTGAATAATTATCAGGACACCTCTTTGCAGTAGAGTATGACTATGGGTTTTTTTCATGTGCATGAGTCCGTCTGTACAGGGGAAAGCACAGAAAATCCTTGCCCCAAATCAGGCAGGGGCTAGGGATGGACTTGCCGCTCTCTGCCATCCCTGGTGCTGCCCTTAAGAGTCTGGCTTTCCTGTCAGTCTCTCCCATCCACGTCCCCCACCCCTGCACCACACCCCCTTGGGAGTCTAAGGTGATCCTGTAGAGTACGCTGAGACACGCAGCGGGGTTCCCCCTTGTGTGGTGGGTCTGTAAGTTTCAGAACCGTGGTCTCTTAAATACAGCCTTACTCCTTGGCGTCATCTGGTGATGGACCCCTGCCGTCTGTGGGTGAACCCCGTGGGCCCCATGGCAGCTCATACCAAGCAGGTGCTAAGCCTTGCATCTGTGGAACACACCGAAACAGGAGTCCTGGCTTTCTTGGTGGTGCTGGGAAGTCATTACTCATGCGAAGTAATCCCCGGACCCAGGACTTTGGGGGAATCTGTTAACTCCTTCAGTAGGACAGAGTCCTCTAAAAAGAATTATGAATGATGTCGTGGTACATTCAGAAGTTTTAGATGTCCAGATAGAACCATACACTAATTTGACCAAAGCCAACATTAACTAATTTAAATGAAAGCTACTGTTTTTCTCAGGGGTAAAATGCGAGGATTGGGCAGAGTCTGAAATTCTTTCCCATTGAGCAAGTCTGCAATCCGACACTAGCCGTGATCCTATAATCTTTTGAAAAGGTCACAGCAGTTCAGGGCTCCTGTGCTCTTCCACAAGAGACCCCCGACTCTCTACCTTAATCTTCTGTTGTCTTTCTGGACTACTCAGGTCCTTGGAAAGCAGACTGTGTCCACTTGAGGTCAAATTCATTGGGTGGATCCTATGGCCGATGCTCCTTCATGACTGAGTAGCCACAAGCAGCAGCTAATCTCTATAGAGCAGCTGTTGGATGAGAAGGTTTAGCTCCTTAAAGCTCTTTAAAAGAGCACAGCACAGAAAGAAGGTGCCGCTGAATGTCACGCCAGTGAGCACCACAGCCGGAGGAGATAGATGGAAACAGACCTTGTGGATGCAGATCAGGAAACAGCCCAGCTCCTACACTCAGACGCAGTTTACTCAGGGATGGCAGGAGCTGGGCATCCGGACACCTTCTGCGTTCTGCATTTTTGCAGGAGTGGGCATTCACGGAGCTGAGCATAGTTAGTAGAAAACTGAAGCACATCACATGCGTCTCAGGAAAGCTCCTGTAAGGCACTGTTGGAAGTCAGGGAAGGCTGCATGGTGGGCTGGCGCTTAGGTGGGCCTGGAAGAATCTTTAGAATATGGACGGTGGAGATGAGAGCAAAAAAGTCGTTCTGGGGAAGAAAACTTGCAGGGCAAACACAAGATCAGGCCCAGCGTGTTTTTTCTACTTCAGGGAGAGGTAAATCCAGGAATCCAGGTCTATACAGTACAGGTCAATTAAAAACCCATCATTTTCATGAAAAAAAATTTGTTTACCTTGTCATATATAAATCTTCATTTCATCCTACAATTAAAAGGTTACATGCAAACTTGATAGTCTACCTGGGTTTACCATGTAGAAAAACTGAAATAACAAAGATAATCGAGTAGGTGGTTTGACTGTTTAAATGCAGGCCACAAATTAGACCTGTTTAATTTAATGGCGCTTATCTTAACTTTTAAAGGATGAGAAGGACGTGTGATGAGAGTTTAACAAGTTGGGATGCTTCGGATTTATAGGAGAGTTGGTTTTGTTTTGTTTGGGGAACTGGAGATTGAACTCCCAGCCCTTGTGCTTGCGTGGCAGGCAGTGGAATATGAGAGTTGTAACAGGACAGAACAGAGTGAGGTAAGTTCCCTATGTTCTGTTTTTATGGACTAGCCAGTGATACATATAACCATAAGCAAGCCAGTTATTTTCTATTTCCTACTTACTATCTTCAGGAAAGGACTGCTGGGGATTGAGGGGTAGCTGAAAGGATCTGTCAGTCTTCTGAAACCTTTCCCTACCTGTCAGTTCCGTCTGGCCAGTGTCTCCCAGTAGTCCATAGGCAGAGGGTAGAGTGGCCCGGAGCACCTGCAAGCCAATGAGTGCAGCCCTTGTCAAACACTGGGTGTCAGAGTTTCAGGGTACACAGCCCTCTCCCCATTATCCATGGTTTCCATCCCTCATGGTTAACCAGGGTCCAGAAATACTGAAACGGGAAATTCCAGAAATCTATAAGTTTTAAACTTTCATTACAGAATAGCACAGTTCTATTTTACTAGCTACTGTTGTTCATCTCTTACTGTGCCTAACTTATACTTGAAATGTTATCATAAGTGTGTGTATACCGGAGAAACAGGTAGGGAGTTCAGACGTGCACTGGAGGTCTTAGCACGCAGTCCTGCATGGATAAGGGAACGACTTGCGCTGAAATCTCTTCTTAGGACCAGATGATTTCAAAACCAGAAGCATCTTGTACAGATGGAGGAACTAGCCAAGATCAGTATCAGTCGGTATCACAGCCTCCTACAGCTCCTGCCCAGTGTTCTTCCCCAAACACTGTTCCCTTCTACCCTTGCCCCCTGGAGTGGGGACTGGCCACTGTGGCCAGATTCAGTGCCACCTGTTTTCCTAAGCCAGGCTTCATTGAAAATCGGACGTGTTTGTTTCGTGTTGTCTGTGTCTGCTTCTGTGCTGCAGCAGAAGTCAAGTTAAATAGTTCCAGAGACTGTATGGCCACAAAGCCTAAAATATCCATGAATTGGCCTGTTGTGGAGGAAGTTTGCTACCCCTGCTCCACTGCCCTGGTTCTCCATGTGGTCGGTATCCTGGGGTCACCAGCATAATAGCATAGGTGTGGATGTAGTAAACACTGTCCTTGCTCTCAAAGAATCCCTTGCCCCATGGTGAGGAAAGTCTAAGACATGAAAGGACAGTAACAAGTGATGTAAGAGAGTTAGGTGAGTTCTGGACTGCAGGCTACATTTGCAGAACAATCCAGAAGCATTGCAGTAAAATCAACATAATAAAATACAGCCAAGTGAGTAGTTTCTGTGAACATCTGAATTATATAGCTATTTATTTGTTCACTTATTCAAAAATTATCGTGTGTCTGCTCTGCCAGGCGGGCACTGCTCGAGGTAACAGAGAGGTACACACCTGTGTCCAAACACCAGATTGCGTCTGCTGACCGGAGGCAGTGCCCCGCTT